TTATAGATTCTACATTATTCTTTAGTGTTGCATCGTATTCCATAGTGTGTGTGTACCATAAATACATACAGTAAATTCTTACAAGCCTAGCGGGCCTTTTATTTTTCCAAGTGGCCAAGGACTTTGAACATGTGTAGTCCCTTTGTAGTTGGAAAAGCAATACTGTGTTGAGATTTCAGCCTATGGGAAACCTCCTTCCTCCCAGACCTCTACTGAACCTTGTTTGGCACATACTTCCCATATTTCAGATCTCAGTCTAGACTTTTCCTCCTCCAGGAAGTCTCCCTCAACTCTCTCTAAGACTTGATTAAGTGTCTGATTTCATGGCACAAGAAGCCGTGGTGGCACAGGTGGTTAAGAACTCAGCTGCTAACTGAAAGATCAGTGGTTTGAACCCACCTGCTGCTCTTTGGGAGAAAGATGAGGCAGTTGCTTCCGTAAAGATTTACATCCTCAGAAATCCTATGGGGTAGTTCTACTCTGTCCTACAGAATTGCTTTGATTTCTAATTCCATTCCACAACAATGGGTTTGGTTTTGGTTTTGATGGCTTCAGTGCTTTTGTAATATGTGCCATCCAGTAGTGGAATGGTCTAAGCCAAAAACCAAAGTCACTGGCATCGAGGTGATTCCGACTCATACTAACCCTATAAGACAGAGTAGAACTGCCCCAATAGGGTTTCCAAGGCTGTAAATCTTTATGGAAGCAGACTGCTTCATCTTGCTCCCATGGAACAGCTGGTGAGTTTGAACTGATGTTTTGGTTAGCAGCCGAATGCCTTAACTAGTGCATAACCAGAGCTCCTGTGGGATAGCCTAGTGTGGTGTAGTAAATTACCTAGTATGGCTTTTCTAGCCATAAGTCTTTGTAAACTCCATGGTGGAATTTGCCATGAGCAACCGAGTAGCTCCTGATTGTTAAAGTTATCCACCTGGGGTATTTCTGTTGTATGTAGCACCAAGTAATTTTCTGGGAAGTTTGCTCTCTCTCAGGTGTATAGAATTGTTGGGATTGGGATTGGTTAGTTTGGCCACTCTTGCCAGGCTCAAAAAGGAGCCCTTCTAGAAGCAGAAGTCTCTGAGTGCTGGCTGAGAAGATATGCTGCTGAGAGAAACTGCTTCTGAGAAAGAGACACCAAGAGACACGCATTGCTGAGAGAGAGAAACACTGAAAGACATGCATTACAGAGAGAAAGAGACTGAGAGAGACTGTTGGCTGAGAGATGGCGGGCCGAGAGAAACTGAGTATTTTTCCTAAACTTGAATTGTAGCCTGGTGCTTCCCTGATAAACACCATAATCTGTGTGGCCACTGCAGCGAATTATAGAACCTAGCAGAGAGGTGGTGGGTGCTGAGGGAGGAACGGTTAGTGTCACGGCTGGAGGGAGGCAGCATGTCTGGCCTCACAGGAATAGGCCTTGGGCTACTGATGGTGATTCTGTCTTCCTCTTGTGGGGTTAGAGGAGGTCAGAAGATGTGCCCTTCCTGCCCCTTTGGCACTTAGTTACACAAATATCTCCCTCATTACAAGGCACTTGGGTAGTGTAATAGTATGTGCCATAAAGATCAACAGTCTTGGAAACCCTATGGGGGCAGTTCTACTCTGTCCTGAAGGTTCTCCATGAGACAGAATTGACTCAATGGTAGTGGGTTGGTTTTTTTGGTATATGGTTATTTCTTTGAAGGAACTATTCCTTTGTCAGTAGTGTCTGTTTCACACATTTATGTTGGACTAATGAATGACCTTGGCTTGCTGACCCATGTGTGCAGCATAGAACTGCTCCATAGGGTTTTCAGGATTGTGACATTTCAGAAGCAAATTGCTAGGTTTGTCTTCTGAGGACCTCTGGGTTCTAAGCACCAACCTTTTGGCTAGTAGCTGAGTGACTAACTGTTAGCACTCCATGGGGTTGTCATAGTCAGAATTGACTACGTGGCATCAAATACCAATGAATGAACATGTCTTACTCTCTTAAGTGAAAGCTTAGTTGTACTATTGAATTTGTGTCTTCCCTCATCTTCAACTAGGAGACATGGAAATAATGGTTTTCACACTTTGTGGTTTCAGGACTCCTTTTAAAAAAGTTA